ACAGTCCTGAGTCCACAACAGCACAAACTCACAACAAAACGATACGCTGATGCTGATGTTTGTATTATTCTTTTCTATGATTAGTTCTTTGTACTACCCGTTATACTTGATTTTTAATACTAATAAGCCTATGAAAATATAAAACAATACTCGTAAAGAAACTAGCAATAAGAAGTGAAAATCTTATGGCAGCGAAGCTAATGTTTTTCAGAAACAGCTTAAAGCTGTCACACGGAAGCGCTGAGTCGTTAAGTCTCATGCTATCTTTGTCCTTTGAAAGAAAATGTAGCTTGAAGTTTCTAATTTCCGAGCATCATGGCGTGAAATCATGACTACCAGCTTCTATTCTAGCTAGTGTTTACTTAATAATAAAATAAATAAGTAGTCTTAAACCTCGTGAAATCTTCTTTAAATTGCAACATATACTGTAGGTGGATTTTACTTATGTTGGGACGTGTCGAAGTGGATTGTGCAGTATTTTAGAGTTTGGTAGTCGAACGGGATAAGAGGCGCGGCGCAGGTTTCCGCCAAGGTCGATAACGTTGCTTCCTGAATTCTAGAACTACATACTTACTAACTTAGTACTCCACAGATAACGTATGTTCCACAGACTGCATATTGTTAATGCATCGATATTTCGTGTTGCCAAGTAATTTGTGTTGTTTCGTTTGTCTAACATACTGTATGTTGAACTTCAGTATCTCAATTTTAATTTCGAAAACAACGTTTAATAGTGGACTTGATACTTATTTACATTTAAGTTATTCCTAGTATAATTTTAGGATGCTTACATTAAATATGTTCAAAGTTCATTCGTAAATGGGAAGATAATTTATTCTGACGTATTTACCTACATGCTTATTAAGGAAATAATAGAAAACTTTAGGTGTTTAAACGGCTTTGCTAAAACGTAGAGTAATTAATCCTATTTGTCGCAATAAGTTTCATTTTTATGTCAATTATTTATGTAGGATCAATAAAAGTATCGTGATTCGTATTCGTACCGTTAATTGACTGTCTGGGTCACGCTGCGCGCCTAGCAATCGACACATAAATCCAAATTAATCAGCTTTGATTAATGCCTACTTTTCGAGGATACACGAGACAATGTCAAGACCAAATACCTAAGTTTTCTAAAAGCGAATTAAAATTCTATTGTTTCGTTTACAAGCAGGATAAATCATACAGCAACATAAGTAAAGCAGGAAATAGATGTGACACCGGGCGAACCTTTCCAGATCGTTCCGAGAGGTCGTTGAGGAATAATGCATTAGGAAGATTTATACAATCATTAGCATTCGTGCAGGTACGCCGTCAATGTCATACGATAATCTGTGATGCTTCTTACATCGACAACAAGCGCCCGAGAGCGGAGAGCTCGAGAGATGTGCATCGAATACCGCCCGTTCAAGGTAGAGGTTGAACTCCGACCTTCCGATAGCTGCAGTAACTACATCCATTTAGAAAATAGTTCAGGATTTCTTTTGCAAAAGAGGTTTGAGTAAAGAAAATGAGGAATTTCTTGAATATTTTAAGCTATCGATTGTTAATTATAATGACGGTAATCAGCATTCAAAGCCAGTATCGTTAGTTGCGGACGGATATAGCGATCGTTCCGCACTGATACTATACCCTCGAGGTTCGTACACTGCTCGCTGATATTTATGGACCAATTTGCCACTGTCAATGTTTGCATTCCATTAACTCAAGGAAAAGTGTTTGTGGACAAGCAGTTTTATTTGCTTAGCCTGTCCTAAGACAATAACAACATTCTTTTCATAATTTTGTTAGCGAAATTATGCTGCGGATTGAGACTGGCTTTGTTTCATTGGACATTGGACTAACAGAAATAAAGTAATAACTGAGAAAAGTGTTGTTTAAGGGTTAAGTTGACTGTCTCGATGACCGAGTGGTCGCAAGTGCGACTACTGGGCGAGGGGTCTCGGGTTCGATTCCCGGGTCGGGCAAAGTATTACTGGGTTTTAAAAAAAAATCTCAGTATTAGCACGGAGTCTGGAAATGTGCCCGGTATATGGCAATAGGCTCACCCCCTATTGCATGGGGCTCAATACATAAAAAGTAAAAAGTGAGTGTTACTTCTGGTGCACCTCTGCCTACCCCTTCAGGGATAAAAGGCGTGATGTTATGTGTTATGTGTAAGGGTTAAGTTGAAGAAGAACGTATTGTTATAGGAATGAACGCAGAAGGAAGAACTTCCAGTGTTTTCTGTAGGTTTTCTTCTGTAGGTTATCTCTTTACAAAAGAACCCTGTTTTACTTTTTAATCACGTGCAGAGCACCATTAAATTAAACTATAAATTAGACTCAAAATCATAACCAAAAAGAAAAATAAGCAATGCTCCATTGTAAATATATCGACAAGTAGGACGAGTATATACATAAAGATTGTAAATTTTTCGCGCCAGGGATCGAGATGGAATATTATCGACGTTGCGTCGTGTGTTAACAAATTCGATTTTATCAGAGTCGACGTTACTTTCGTCTCGTCCTAAGTAACGTTTAACATTTAACCAATGAGCTAGAGGTTGCATGTGTTCATCTTCATAATGTAAAATTACGGATAGCAACAGCTGTTCGTGATTTAGACCAAACGATATTCTCTCGTTATAAAATATTTAAGTACGATACGGCAATCTTGACGTGGATTGGACTTACATAACATCACGTCTTTTATCCCCGAAGGGGTAGGCAGAAGTGCACATTATGCTACTGCACAATGTGAAACCGACTTTTTACCGACTTCAAAAAAAGGAGGAGGTACTATGTTCGGCTGATTGTTTTTTTTTTGTTTGTTCGCGCAGTACTCCGCCATTTGTGAACCGATTTCGAAGATTCTTGTTGTGTTTGGAAAGGTATACCCCCGAGATGGTCCCATTTCCATGAGGTCAGGATCTGATTATAGGAACCTAGGGAAACCGAGGGGAACTTTCGAAAATTCTATGGGAGAGTAATGCGTCTATTATGTTTTTCGATTACGATTTTTAAACACTGCAATTTGATAAGGGTCTGGAGTCGACCTGATGATGGAGTCGACAGACAGTTGAGGGAACTCCTCAGCGGTTTATATTAACTACCTTGTGTTTGAGCTTGATTTATTTGTATTGATGAGGACTTTACACCTAGATAGAGTGAGGCTGTCAGTAAGGGTCTGATGATGAAGAAGTGCAATTGTTAAGGGAACTCCTTAACGGTATACAGTAACTACCTTGTGTTTGGGCTTGATTAATTTGTATTGATGAGGACTTTACACCTAAATAGAGTGGGGCTGTCATTAAGGGTCTGATGATGAAGAAGTGCAGTGTGTTAAGGGAACTCCTCAACGGTATACTGTAACTACCTTGTGTTTGGGCTTGTATAATTTTTATTGATTAGAACTTTGCACCTATGTATATTATAAGTAACAAAACGGCTAAATGTAGCTTTACACTGAAAATTATAAAATAATAAAATAAAAACTGCGTTTAAAATACCGACTTCAAAAAACCAAAAATTAATAACAAACTAAAAGTCAAAGCTAAAAAGTAAAAAATAACTATTATTAGTACTGATAGGTTACCCACCCACTGATAGGTTAGAAGTCGGTGCCATAAGCTCATATCATAATGATATAATTTAATGTCCACAAAATTGTGAATAAGGTACCTACCTATTAAGGTTTTAATGAATAATTTTGTATGGAACTTATGGCACCGACTTCTTACCTATCAGTGGGTGGGTAACCTATCAGTACTAATAATAGTTATTTTTTGCTTTTTAGTTTTGACTTTTTGTTTGTTATTATCACTATTTATGTTGTGAGTCCCATGTAATAGGGGATGAGCCTATTGCTGTAATAGGTGGTTGTCTACAAGATTGGACTTCAAGATATTTTAAATGTTGTTTTTTTATTCAGGTTTGGCAGGAAAATTGTGGAAGTGAAAATGTAGATCGCAGACAATAGTGGTGGGGATGTGTGCTCTGGCGCTTGCGCCAGAAACACGTGAGTCAGTTGCAGCTATCGTAAAAAGAAAAAAAAGGTGTTGCCATGCTCTGATCACGTTTCTGCAGTTCGCCTTAGCGTAGGATGCGTGGTTCTGGAGTTATGCAAATCAATTAACTGTTATCTCATTGATTTCCGGTGGTCCTGCACCCTCATTAACGTTCCATTGTTCGCCTAATCCTTTTATCTATTGTACTTCGAACACCCTCATTACGGTTGATTTGGCGTTCTTATCTATTATTCATTGTTAACCCTCATTATGTCTGATTTTCTATGTCATCAATAAAACACAATCATTCATTTTTATTTCAAATTTTATTACTTTTTACAAAATTTGAGTGGAACATCTCATCTAGAAAAATATCATTGTACAGTGTGTTCCCTGTAAATATGTTCGTAAAACTATGCATTGAACATCCCCGAAACTTAAATAGCAAATACATTAAGCAATATTCACCACAAACTGAAGTCCAATCATGCTGAATCCTATCAACATTCCAGTCCCTCTCTTACAATTCCTTTTCAAAAACTGAAGATGATATCGCTCAGGTGTTCGTCGATTAGAATCAAAATATTTACCGATGCCATTCGCATCGATATGTACAGCTATCTAGTCTGACCCTGGTTTATCATCCGCATCCAAATTGCATATTATATACATTGGTACATGTGTATACATAGGTAGTCTATTAGCAGCATAAACATTATTTTCTAGACTGGGATGAATTTTTCTAGACTGGGATGAATCTTTTTTATATGTTTTTGTAATTCTAGAGGTAGTGTATCCACTATATTACTGTTATTAGCAGATTATTAGTACCAATCTATTCAATGGTTGTCATCATACAAATGTTCAATTATAGTGATTTGTAAATATTAAATCGCATTCTTTGTGGGAGTCACAAAACAGGTTCATACATGTTGCGACGTGAGATAAGTTTGTTGACTCATAGAGTTTTGTTGTACTTAGAAATTTGCTTTAGATAAGAATGGTGGTCATAGGAATGTTCAATTATAGTGATTTTTGGGTGTCACAAAAAAAGTATATGCCTGTTGCGACGTGAGATAAGCTTGTTGACTCATAGGAATTTGCTTCAGATAAGAATGGTGCTATATAACATCGAACAGTTGCAATCACGCAGTCAGTCTATGGTCGTTTGACCACCGTGAATTGTATACGTACTACGTTTGTGTTACCTACTTTAACGCATCAATGGTCATAGAGGTAAGTGTTTATTCTATTGACAAACTTACTTGTTTTTCTGTTGTTGTTTCCTATCGTGTGTGTGTCAGATTAAGTGTAAACAGATTGATATTAACGTGATACCTCTATTGTTGCAGAGATCATTCAGCTTCGCAGACGTTAATGAAAATACCAGTAAACAGTATTACTTTCATTAGATTTTACATGACTTTCCTAATCCTTTGATAGACTCTAAATATTGGACATCATTTGAAATTGGATATCAGTTGCCCTACCAACACTTAACTATTACTTACTGTGCTACATACTTTCTTCTTTATTATAAAGATGGAAAACTTCAGTGAAATATGCACTAGTGCTTTCTTTTCCACACCCATCGAGGAGAATATAGAACAATTCAACAGTGAATTCAATCAGGAGCTGTCTAAAGTTTGTGATGAAATAGAGAAGCGTGAACTGTTCAATTCATCGTACGATGATGAGTTGTATAATCAATGTTTGATGGTTGAAACAACGTTGATGTAAGTATTAGAAGTACAAACTCAATAAGAAATATTATTGTAGTAATGTTTTTTTAAGATCTGTGTAATAATTTTCTTTTTTGTTACAGTCAACAACAAGTTGGAAGAGGTATCAAACAAGGTATCACTACCGATGAAAATAAGGTTACCAAGAAAGCAAAATTTGATGAAGGAGCTTCTACATCATCAATTAAAACCAATGACGTGGACAATAATAAGGTGGAATGTGATACATGTCATGTTTATATTAATAAAAGGTATCTAAACAACCATTTAAAAAGTAATACACATGAAAATAATCTTTTAAAATCACATAATTCATTAACAAATGTTATAGTTGTTGAAACCGCTTTTGAGAATCGAATTTTAACATATAGAATTAATAGTAAAACACATCAATCGGGACAATATTTTGAAACACCGGAATCGTTTTTAAATTCATTAAAAATCGATATCTTATTTTTGATAAATGAATGCATTCAACAACATACAATTTTTAAAATAAACTTCTTATTGCATGCTGATTTCATACAACAAACTAAAGATATTAAAAATACATTTGATTTTCCAACGTTTAATTACATAATTTGTCAGGGAGATGACTTAAACATCTTTTATTTATCATTAATAGACACAGTAGTCGGTAAAATTTGTCAATTTGAAAAAAAAGATAGTGGTTGGAGTCTTAATCAAATTAAATACATAGATATGAATGTTTACAAATTCAACCCCCTACGTGGTAGTTCTTATATCAACCTTCCTCAAGATATTAAATCAAAAAAAGCTGTAATCAATGTTAAAAATAATGATAATATGTGTTTCAAATGGGCATTACTCTCCGGTTTATATCCTGTATGTAAAAATGTAGATCGGGTAGCATCTTACGCAATTCATGGAAATAAACTAAAATTTACTGGTATTTCTTTTCCGGTTAAAATTGTAGATATATCAAAAGTAGAGAAATTTAACAATATTAGTATTAATGTTTTTGGCTTAGAGTATAATAAAGAAAAAAAGTGTAATTCTGTTGTAGGTCCTTTATATTTATCAAAATGTCGTACATCTAATCATATTAACCTACTATATATATCGAATGGTACTAACAATCATTACTGTTATATTAAAAACTTATCGCGATTAGTTAGTTCACAAATATCAAGACAACATCATGCAGTTTATATATGTGATTCATGTTTACTTCATTTCCCATCAAAGGAAAGACTTAATAACCATCATCAATATGATTGCGCTCACATTTGTACGGAATTACCAAACGGTGAGGATTCCAAAAAGGATTGGTTTGGTAAAGCAACCTCAAATAATAAATTAAAATTTGATAAATTCGCGAAAAAGTTGAAAATGTCTTTTGTGATTTATGCAGACTTTTAGGCATTTTTGAATCCGATAGAATCATGTAGTAACGATACATCCAAGCCTAGTACAATTAATATTAAAAAACATGAGGTGTATAGTTTTGGATATTACATTAAATGTTCATATGATAACAGATTATCAAAATATGAGACTTATAGTGGGTCAAACTGTGCACAAGTGTTTATGAATCGCCTTTGTGAAGATGTGAAAGCAATAGTTAAAAAAAATACTTTCCATAAATGTCCCGTTCCATTATCAGATGAAGATAAAATTAAAATTTCAAATTCAAACATATGTCATATTTGTGAAACTGAGTTAAATGAAGATGTTTTTTACGATTTTGATTGGCACACTGGCAGTTTTAGGGGTGTTGCACATCAAGTGTGTAGTTCTAAGTACAGAACCCCTCGTCATATCCCAATATTTTTACATAACTTCAGTCACTACGATGCTCATTTCATTGTCAATGCATTAAACCTCGATGATGACAAATTTGAAGTTATTCCACAAAATAAAGAACGATACATATCATTTTCAAAACAGTTAACAATAAATAATCAACCAGTAAGTTTAAGATTCGTAGATTCACTGAAATTTTTATCGTGTAGTTTAGATCAACTAGCTAAAAATCTTAATGATGATCAGTTTACAGAATTAAAAAGGAACTATCCTAATAATGAAGATTTTTCACGTTTAAGACGGAAAGGTATTTATCCTTATGATTTTATGTGCAATAGTGATTGCTTGAAACATCCATCACTTCCTGATCAACACCAATTTTATAGTTCACTCACAGATTCAAATATTTCAAATGATGATTATAATCACGCAAAAGATATTTGGCAACATTTTAAGTGTAGTAGTATGTCTGATTATTCCAATTTATATTTAAAAACTGATGTTTTACTTTTGACTGATGTATTCGAAAACTTTAGAAAGCTTTGTATAAAAACTTATGGACTAGATCCTGCTCATTACTATACTGCCCCAGGTTTACTGCCCCAGGTTTGAGTTGGGATGCAATGTTAAAATTTACCAAAATAGAATTAGAATTGTTAACGGACTATGACAAAATTGCTTTTTTTAAAGCTGGTATTAGAGGGGGTTTATCTCAGTGTAGCAATCGTTTTGCTAGAGCAAATAATAAATTCATGGAAGATTATGATAGTGAAAAACCTAATTCATATCTTACATATTTTGATGCGAATAATTTATATGGTTGGGCAATGTCTCAATCTCTTCCTGTTGGTGGTTTCGAATGGGTAGATTCTAATACAGATTATAATGTTTCGGATAACTCTGATTTCGGTTATGTTTTAGAAGTTGATTTGGAATATCCTGATGAACTTCATAATTTGCATTCTGACTTTCCGTTATGTCCTGAAAACTTATGTGTGGGTAATACTAAAGAATCTAAATTAGTTCCTAATTTAAATAATAAAAATAAATACATCATTCACTACAGGAATTTAAAACAATGCATTGAAATGGGGATTAAATTAATTAAAGTACATAGAATTTTAAAATTTAAACAGAGTTCTTGGTTAAAGAAATACATAGACTTAAATACTAGTTTGAGAACGTTAGCTACATCAAATTTTGAAAAAGACTTTTTTAAATTAATGAATAATTCTGTCTTCGGTAAGACTATGGAAAATATTGAAAAAAGAGTAAACGTTAAACTACTAACTCACTGGGATAATCGTGGTAAAGTTTTAGGTGCTCAGGATTGGATTGCAAAACCAGAATTCCATAGTTTATCAATATTTTCAGAACATTTAGTCGCAATACAATTACGGAAAACCAAATTATTTTATGATAAGCCGATTTATTTAGGATTTTGTATTTTAGATATATCTAAGACCCTTATGTATGAATTTCATTATAACTACATGATTAAAAAGTTTCATAATAAAATTAAGTTATTGTACACCGATACCGATAGTTTGATATATCAAATTTTTACAGACAATTTTTATGAGGATATAAAACCAGATCTACTTCACTATTTCGATACATCAGATTACCCGGAAAATAATATTTATGGATATCCAAAAATAAATAAAAAAAAGTTAGGTTTTTTTAAAGATGAGAATAATGGTAAAGTATTAAAGGAATTTGTAGGGTTGCGATCAAAAATGTATGCCTTAGAAATAGAAGATAAATTTATAGCAAATGCAAAAGGAGTTAACAAAAGTGTTACCAAAAAAATGAATATGGAAAATTATAAATCGTGTTTGTTTAATAAAAATGTACTATATTGTAGTATGCATCGATTTAAGTCAATCAAACACACTATTTTTACACAAAAAATAAATAAAACATCTTTGTCATATAATGATACCAAACGATGTATTATGGACAACAACATTGATACATTGGCTTGGGGACATTATAAATTACGTTAAGTGTGTATATACAAAATTTGTTTTGATTGCAAAATTATGATATTACTATATTAGTTATATGTTATATAATAGTTTATTATATATATTTTTTTTGTTTGATTGTAAATATTGTAATATAATTTGATTGTAAATATACTAGTTTTTATTTGTATATTAATTTTACACCAACATTTTAATTTTTATTTCATCCCTTTAAAACTCTAGACGTGTGAAATGTATCACTTTATCCACCCGTTTACTGCTATTGTGGCAGGACCAAGTGGATGTGGGAAGTCGAATTTTGTAACAAAATTCATAAAATCAGTTAAAGAAATATGTCATTGCGATTTTAATCAGATCACATGGTGCTTTGATGAAATGCATCCTTTATATAATTTACCAAATGTTAACTATAATCAAGGAATTCCAAATATTAATATGTTTGATGGTGAAAACCCACACCTTATTATTATTGATGATCTAATGAGAGAGTCTGATGGAAGAATTGTGGATATATTTACAAAAGGTAGTCATCACAGGAATCTTAGTGTATTTTATTTAACACAAAATTTATTTCATCAAGGTAAAGGTCAAAGAGACATTTCTCAAACTCAAGTTTATTTAGTGGCAATAGGCTCACCCCCTATTACATGGGACTCATAACATAAATAGTGAAAAGTGGGTGTTAGGTACTTCTGTGTGCACCTCTGCCTACCCCTTCGGGGATAAAAGGCGTGATGTTATGTTATGTTATGAAGTTTATTTATTTATTAAATGGTGAATCAACAGCTAATTACACGGATTTAGCAGAAAAATAGTAGCATTGAGCCACTTACAGGTTCACACGAATGCTGACTTAATAGGTAACAGCTAAGACTAAATTAAAATTATAATGTATCAAAAATAGTTATAAAATTTATTTTAAAAACCCTCGAGATAAAACTCAAATAAGATATTTAGCACGACAAGTGTCACCAGATAACCGAAAATTCAACATTAGAAGTGCAACTTTAGTGATAGATTTAAAACAGAATACAAATGATTTTTGTCTTATCAAGACAAATGTATTCCCATTTAATGGTTTACTGCACAGTCTACGTCCCCACAAAAAAGTTTGAATAAACCAAGAATCAAACAATTCAAATCATTTCTAAATGATGCATCGTCGAATCACCACGCATAAACATTTGCTAAACGCTTTGCATACGTTTAAACCAAAATATCAAAGAGCGTTACTTAAAACGTGTGATGAAGAAGAAATAAATTGTATTTGTGAATGTATTCATAACGTTTCACAAGGAAAGATACCTCTTAAAGATCAAGATAAACGAAAATTGAATAAACACAAAAATATACTCCGTAAACTGGTGCATAAGTGTACACATAAACTAAGAAAAAATATTATTAGGTATATAAAAAGGAGGGGCATTCTTATCAATAATATTAGGTGCAATATTGAGTGGATTAGTAAGTAGACTAGCTAAAAAAATTAAAACAAGAAAATAAGGTGACTAGTAATTAGTCTCGACTAGATATTGAAATGCAAAATATTATGAATAGTAAGACTTTACTGAAGAGGGTCGTCAACCACTCAGATTACTAATTTATTCTGATACATCTAATGAAGATTCAAATGGATTTTAAATTGGATTTAAAAATAAAGATAGAGATCTAAAAAGTTCAGTTGATGCTGAATCTTTGTTGGAGGAGAAAATTATAGAAAGTGAGGCAAATCCACTGTACTCACCGAACTTATAATAAAAAAGGTAAGTCATTATTAAACTTAATTGGAATAAGTAAAAGTAAAATGCGTTGGGATACCTAATGAAGGCACAGTCATAATTGATAATGAAACAATTCCAGGAAGTAATATTATTAATTTAATAAATGATTCACTTAGACCCTTAAAAAAAAGTGATCCGATAGGGTGGGATAGATTTGCTAAAGCATTAAAAGATATTAAAGTACCTCTTACTTATATTGGAAATCCAAAGAGATGTGAGTTTATTAACCAACTACAAGCAAAAGATCTGAACAAAACCTCTGAGATTGAAGTTCAAGAGTTTTCTACACCGAGCAGTGGAGGTAAAAGATCTATAACTAAAATACGTAAAAAGATCGATTGGGAAAAATGGACCCCGTACTAAAAAAAATTAACAGGATTTATTATGATCCATCTAACCCCGCTCGTTTTGGTAGTATTGACAAATTATCAAAAGCTATGAAGGGGAAAATGGATAAAAAGCAAGTAAAGGAATGCGTTTTATTGATGACATAGAAAATCAGACATAATGAGGGTTAACAATGAGTAATAGATAAGAACGCCAAATCAACCGTAATAAGAGTGTTCGAAGTACAATAGATGGCGCGTATCCCCACTACTGACAATATGTAATAAAAAAACAATAATTGGGTACTTGCCTTAATCAAAAATAAATTATTTCGACTGTTCAATACAATAAAACATTAAAAAAAATCACACTTTCATTAATTGATTTTATGACAAACTTCATTTTAGGATTTTTCCAGTACATTTTTAAGAAATAAGTACTTATGCGGTTTGGCGCTAAAAACGTGACGTAACAATACACAATTCATAGAAAACTGTCGTTTTGATAGTACGAAAAAAGTATTGAATTTGACTAGTCGGCAAGTATCTAATTAAAGTACGTATTAATCTCTATTGCTAACATATGAGTAACTTTCTATTTTTCATTTGAAGGCAACAATCATTCTTTACGTTGTCACGGAGAACCTAACGGGTTACCGGGACACCGGCTCGGAGCGCAGGAGTAGGAATGGGGTGGTTTTTTAGTTAGTCAGTAAGAGTATGACACTCCCTCCCGCCTCACCCAGGCGGGAGAAGTAATTCGACGATTTTCCCTCCTTAAAAATCATTCTTTACGTTCTTTTTTTGTGAAAAAAACCCTTGTGTATAAAATTCAAAATTGAATTTTATTATGGCGACATGAAGAGATTTTGAATTTACAAATCTAATAAATGTTTTAAAGTACCTTGCTTGGGCTGCATCCGCTCATGAATAATTCTTTTAACAAAAATAAAAGTTTTGCCTTGTAGTAAACAAGACCGACTGCATAATATAATTCAAGGAACTGACGACTGCCTGTATAATGAGCTAGAAAAACATTGCCATATTTATTTTGAAATGAAAATGTACAACTGCAATGAATTAAAAGTAGGTACTGACGGTGTAGTATTCAGTAAATGGGAAGTTGCTCTACTTTTAAGGATTTGCTCTTATAAACGTGAACGTGGATGTAATTATACATACGTCTTTTCGCATTTACAGGGTCTTCAGTCTTACTACAATGCTGAATGACACAAAGACTTTCCATTGGCGTATCGATTAGGTGCCCAGTTCTTTTATAATTAATACACTGACTCATATATTAGGTATCTGCTGTCATCCCTTGAATAAAAAACAATCGAGTTCTAATTATTTTCTTGCCATAACCTAGAAAACTCGTTAATGCGAGCTTTTGTTGATGCAGTCGCTGTAGTGTAGACTGTAGGTGCAAGTTAGTAAAAGAAAAAACTGTAACGGGTCGTCGAGCGCTTCGTTATGTGATAATGTGAATAACTGAGTACGGTGTCTCAGTAAATTGCTGGCATATATCCGTAGTATCCGTGCGGCAATGGCGCCTAGTACTCCGGTCCTACGGCATCGGCATAACGTAGGTGTTGATGAAACTAATCAACATGTGATGTCGCATGCTTAATGGCTTTAGCTTTGACACCGGATCCATTAATTTTATCTATGTTTACAAACAAAGTTGTTTTTCTGAAATTAAGTTTGTATAAAGGTAGATATAGCATTCAGCCTATTCTTCATATACGATGACTACCACAGATTAAATAAAAAATTTGTTGATGAAATTAGAGAAACCAGTCATTTCAAAATTGGGTTGACAATCAATTATTTGTGCAGGCTGAAATGAAATGTAGATAAAGTTGTGAGAGACTAAATATCCGAATTTTAAAACGGTCTGTTTGTTTGAAATAATTACTTTTTATCTTTATATCCCTACAAGATTTTTGATGGTATTTTCTCCACCATGGAATTTGAGTAGGTGTAAGTAGTTATACCTAGATTGAGTGTTTGAGACTTAGCAACTAGGTACAGGTAAGTCAGATAAGGTAACCCTAATGAATTGCTTGATACTTTGCAATATTCCTATGATTGGTTTTCAAGTAAGGGAGGGCATCGGCCGCATTGACGTCGATGCCAGCTATTTGCGTTCCGGCTTCAATGGTAGCTGTCAAATAGAAGATTAGCAGACATATGCACGCACTTGTACCTGATTTAATGCACACTGTGCACTGCACAACACTTCAACTCACTGTAACAATAATATTGTTTGCATTCATTGACCCGATTATGTAAATTGGAAGCAATTGTGGCGAAATGAGGGAAGTTCCATTAAAATATACGACAAAAATGGACATAATTATTGACGAAACTGTGCGGCCTGTGGCCTGTGTGGGTGTTCATGTTTTAATGTGATTATAATGTATGCCTTTTCCTTGATTTGGCCTTGTATGGGTTGAACAAATATTGGAAAAATATATAAGATTTTTCATTCTTTATTTATTTTTGTACTTATAGGTAATGTAAGCAAAATTCATTCATTGGTTTATTTAAACACATTCATCTACTTATGTTTTTATAATCTTATGCACAGACCGTGACGTAATCGCTATGGCAATGTGCAGGTATTTAAGCGAGAAAAAATCTGAAGATTATTTTATTGACTGCATGTATATGAATATAAGAATATTCCTAAAAAGAGAAAAGTTTGAACTAGCAATTCTACAAAATCCTATTATTACCTAGGTCACCAAAAATATGAATTTCACTGAACAATACCATATTATCATAGTATAAATACCTAGATTGTAAAAAATGTTACTTATAAAGAAAGTTGGTTATGGTCTAGACTAGACAGGATGTCTGGTTCACGACCTACTTTTAGGAATAAACTCTCACGATCGCCATTAGTCTTATAGGAAGACATAGATATTTAATACTAGCCACTCGCTCGCGGTTTCGCTCGCTGCTCGGCTCCTATTGACTGCAGCGTGATGTTTTGTAGCCTTCCTCGATAATTGGACTATCCATTACCCAACACAGAAGGAATTTCTTAAATCGAACCAGTAGTTCCACAGATGTGGACGTTTAAACATACAAACTCTTCAGGTTTATACAATTACCTAAACCTAAAAAAGTAAAATCTAGATAAGTAATTTATTGACAATTAAAGTATTGGTTTACACAATCGAAGTGTTTATGTAGGTAGACTACTTATATTGTTAACCCACATCTTATTTTTTTTTAGATTTTTTTAACCTTTGCTTACGTAACCTGGAAACCGCAAGTTCTGTTTTATTGCACCCAGATGGTATATTTTTAATCTTTTGTTCTACTTGTCCTGTCATAGACAATAGTTTAGAGTTCGAATAGAGTTTTTATGCATAGTGTAAAGTAAATTACTATTTGTTTGAATGCCCTAATCTCAGGAACAAATCATATATTTGAATAACTCTTATTGTGTTTGATAGTGCATTTATCGAGGAAGGCTATACAATATAGGCTATAAAACATCACGCTGTGATCAACAAGAGGTAAGCAGAGCGACTGAAATTACCTTAAAAAATAGTTTTAATTTTTGAGCTCTATTAACTTTGTAAGAACATACCTATTGTAATACATTTAGGGTCTTTGCAATCAGATTTAGAATAACTTAAAATTTAATTAAAATAAAATCTATTCATTGTTTATTTTCATTCATTCACTTCAATATTACACTACCATTCAAAGAAGGCGTGCACCCCTGCCCCGCGCACTTCGCTCCGCGCCCCGCTTAGCCCGCGTCATGAATATCCGACCAAACGAACGGCGCGCGCCCGGCTCGCCAGTCATCGAGCGGCGGTCTTGGGAGATGCTATTGGAGAGAAACAAAAAAATACAAACGCTACCGTTCATCTGACATGCGCGTACTTATTTCTAATACTGACTAAAAACAAACGAACCAATTGGATTTCAGTGATCGAACAAAGTGACAGTGCAGTGTTGACATTAGATCGACTGCAAATTCGCTTATTCCGCGTATGATTTAACCGTTTGGTGCAGTGTTTATGTTGGGTACGCGCCGCCCGTTTCGTCCGGCGTGCTGGAGGGACGTCGCCCTCGAGGATTCCTATTAGAGGTAAGGCGCTAAGATGTTGATTATTTTAACTTTTGTTTGTACGCGGCAAACAACAATGGACAGCGCGCGTCTTAGAACGGTGCACGGTGATTTATAGCTAACTGAAAGCCGGTTCCTACCCCAGACACGTTACGAGGATGACTTCAAATAAATCCGGTTACTTTGCATTAAAGTTAACTTCAATGTTGATACTAACCTCTGTAACTTTGTAACTCTCGGTAACATTCTAAAGTTATGTTTAATTTTTTGAATTAGTTTAAAAATGACTTCAGAGGCAAGTTACTCACGAACTTTTATAATAAATCGTTATTCTCAAACACCCAAAGGATAACGTATTTATAGTTATGAATTAATATTTGAAACCTAAAAATTGTCGTATTTCTTAAACTAGGGGCACGGTAGTGATCCCCGCAAAGGCTATCGTAATTTTATTTGGACACTAAATTTACAGAACACTCAACTGAGTATTTGGATCTTTGACTATTTATGTTAAAGTATAGTTACAAGTTTTCGTGGAATGTATAGTAGTCCCATTGTCATTAGTTAGATGTTAGAATATTTCTTGGTATTCGTCTAAAGAATACTTAATTCAATTGTCAAAAATGTGGGTGGATCGAGTTTTGCAAGTGTTAGATAAAATTAGGTTTACCTACTAACCTACCTGCTGTTCGTGTGCAGATAAAGATAATAATCCTTTACATATGAAGTGTAGGTAATTTGCATAAAATAATCTTTATGATCACAAATTCGTGTACCGAAACAAGCACGTGTTGCTTTAACAAAGTTGAGGGTTGAGGTGAGGTAGGTAATACATCAAAAAGCTATAAAAACCTGTCCTTCCGTATCGGTGGAGATAACAAGAATATTTGTAAGTGTTATTGGCGTATCTTACGTATGCTGCAACTGGCTTCGGACGGGTGGTAGGCGGGCACCGAGAGCGTAACCCAGTTTCACGGGTCACGCTGCTGAGCGCTCAGCTCACCCGGCGAAATGCTCATTCGCTCGACAACTTACTGATACAAGCCTATTATCACGCCTTGACAATAAAACAACGGTCGTGTGCGTCCATTTATTAACCAAAAAAATCATGTAACATTTTGTGGAATAATGCATTTGCATTAAAATTAAGTTGCATACGTATTTTAAGATGTTTGAATATTAATTAATAGTTTTTTTAATGACATTTTATTATTAGACTTGCAAAGGTTTCCGAGACAATGAGTGCAAAAAAATTATGCATAATGTAACAAGGCTAAGTTCATATTTAATGTAATCCCAAACATTACTGGACTATTTCGAATTTGGAATGCAGAACCTTATTAGAGCTGTCGGCCTAATCATTGAATGTTTGCAATATAATCATTTAGCATTTGTGTTGGATTTGCATTAGTCTATAACGAGGACCTGACGGCAAAGGGATGTCATGGTTGCCACAAGTATCATATAACTGGCCGATATTTTTTATACTTTAAGTAGGGTTTTTTCCTAGGAGGTAAACGTCAGCCCTATTATAAAATACAAAATTTAGTACATACTAAAAAATAACCGCGTACTACCCGTTTATAATATAGCCGAAATTAACCTAATCATTTTTTTTTTACAGAAACATCTTATATTAATATAATGTCAAATATAGATCTTAATCTTGAATTGAGAATAATAATTTAACACGAATGATTGTTTGAGACTTGAAAGATGGCGATGGTGACTACAACAATTTATTTTCGTTTTTAACGTATATGCACCAAAAATAGGAATTTGTTAAGAACAGGAATGTTAACGCAACACGTACAGTTAGTACGTACGTATCATTATGAAAATTAAATTCGAATGCTTGATAGAATGGTAACAATAAAGCACGAACTATGAAGTCATTGGCCACGACGCGTGTGTGAGTAAGCGATTTCTGGTCACTGGGTATTGGAACTCAAGATAACAGGTTTTGTCATGCCCACTCGTCTTTAATTTATTACTTCAAATATGAAAAATCATTGGATTTAACGTTAGTTTCGCATTTGTGATTGATTCGATGTTGAAGTTGATTTTAAGAAGTAACACAACGTTATGCGCATTCCTGTAGTTATGATCAATAATGGGATGTGGCTTAAAATTACCCCAACAAAAGTAGATGGTCCATAGAGCATTCTTCTATTTTTAACGTTGTAAAGATGTTTAGCTGCTGGGGAAACCGGGAAAACGATTAACCAACATGGGATTCTTACTACAGTGCCAGTCAGTGTTATAATTTCCAGCAGAAAACTAGATCCTTTGATACATCATGTAAAAAAGCCTAAGCAGAATGCAATGAACGTCGATGGCCGATCCAACTGTTCAACATAACCTGTTTGGAAACAAAACCAAATAAAATGATTCATTGATTCGAATGTCAATGCTGTTGCTAGAAACAGACGCAGATGTAATAACAACTGTAAATCATTAGATTTGTGACTATACTCCGCTTGTTTATTAGGTAACTCTGGTTAACGATAGTACCTAGTTACAGACCGATTCAATTCGTTCACTGAACTAAAATTTGCATTTTAGTGCCTTTAAATAGGGCAGTATACCTCTATATATTTATCACTTGTGTGCATACCGCGAAACGATGCTATTCAATGATGTAATAGTAATTAGCGGGTCGACGGCAGCTGCTAATTCGTACGCTGCTGCTGCACTTGTAGGTACGCCATCATTTTCTATAACCTGAGTAAAATTTAAATTTGTCGCTGCAATGTAATCGCAAAAGCAATATTCTGGCAAATTTGTCGGCAGTGCAACGTGATAGATATTTGATAGCATGTCGCCTCCCCAGTAAACTGTGTAAAACTCGATCAGTGTCAGTTAGTAGAGTGGTGTGTTGAGCTCAGTTTATTGCTTCGCTGGCTGGCTGCATCCGGCTCGTAAAATTTTAAATGTTTGCCTTTGGTTCCACTACAGACCTATATTAGACCTTACTCTGCGTTTTGTTACACTTTTGATGGCCATTTAAGTACCATCCCGATGGTTTGATTCCTCAGCTGTGTTTATACTTAAACTGAATTAATTTAAACTTTGGTTTTATAATTTATAAAGACAACAACAATTCCAAAGTAAATGTTGAAGTAATTCTGATTACATAATTAATTAATAAAACTTGTGTAACTCTTAACTGGGTAATTTCAACAACTTAATATTTGGGGTACATAATTTTATTGCCGTACCAAATAAAGTGGGTACAATAAATTATAGATTTTATGTTCGGTTTGAACATACACTTAACACCAAAGTATTGATTTTTAAAATTCGACAAATAAACCTATGACGAATTCGTTATTTTTACTTCTGTTGATAAATAAAGTGCTTACAGAGGTCTTAATGCTAAAAGGATTGTGAATAAAGAAGCATTAAGCTAATCGTGTTAACAAACGCAAAATAAATTGAAATAAGACCGCACATAAAGCACAAAGCGTACAAAATTGTTAAATATTTACGTTTGACATACAAGCACAGGATGACCTCCAGTACTCGATCGCCTTGAGACTTAACATTTTGTTTAACACAATTGCATGGTTTTGTATAAATTGTAGCTATACCCTTTAATGTCTTCCAGTCCATTTCCTGACTGAGTATACCTACAACGAGTCACGAAATGCAAAGAAGAATGTCTACTTCGAGAGTGGATTGCTAAATTCTTAATAACATAATCTAGCATTTCTTATTATAAAAAGCTACTAAGGTGAACAAATAATTGAGAATGTAAAATAATACTTACTGAACTCTTTATTAGACTCTACTATTCCTATGGGTAGAATAAACATAAAATGAAGACCATAGCCTGAACTTCATTATTTTGTGGTCGTAAACCACATAAAGGTTCTATTTCAATATCCCTTTATGATCCGAATTCTGAACCATTAAAGGTAGTCTTGCGATGTGGCTTATAATATCTAGGTACGTGAGTTATGATAAGTGTTCAGAATACTAACGCTTTTCTCGCCCAAGAAAATGCACTACTCGCGCGATTCGTTCACGTAGAAATTTCTTTGTGCAAAGAATAAACCGAAGAAGGATTTGGCTTTCAAAGATTACACTTTTACTCGTCAAAGGAAACTCACGTCGCGCAAATGTGGCGTAAATATCTGTTAGGTACGATGTGAAGTGTGTTGGTTACTTAGGCATTGACATTTGGTCCCAAAAAAACTTTTATATTAAATTTGTTCTTTGTGTTTTTCGGGTATATCCGAGGCAGAGATTTCAGAACATTCCCTTATTCGAAGCCTGATTGTATTATTGTTGTCAATGGAGACAACACTTTAAATTGGAAGCCACTAACCTAATTTTGAACTCGACTATTGCCCAATTGAAAGTGCATCATAAAAAGTTAAGTAATGGTGAGTGTACTCTATATATTTACTACTTTCTAGCAGTAAAATGGTTAGTTTATTGCCCAATTGCCTCTGAAAGAGGGTACGTTTTTGTGACCAAACAAGCAGAGCACTCAAGTCACTACCATTTAAAAGTTTTAGTAAACCACGTCAATCCCCGGATTAGTCGAGAACTTTCTCTTGTGTTTTCTTCCTAGTTTAACAAATACGGTATACGCGTACCAAATTGCTATATTAAGCTGAAATCTATATTAAAATATTCATTCTGTACACGAAGTTTATGGCTGATCTTGGCAAACTTGCAAGAAGCTGCCGCAACAGTTTAGGAAGTTTCTTGTATGGATATATGAACAGTTGGTTGGGGGCTGCGGGGCAACATACATATTTCAGGTGCTTTGCTCTTAGAATGATTTATGACCTTAAGCAACTTGGTTATTGTGTCATAATTACTCCAGAATGATTTGTCATTTAGATACAAATTGATAGAACACATAAAAGTGTTAAGTAAATTTTTATGAGTTGTGTAACTAATTATAGGTACTATTTGCAATGTCACTGATACCCGACCCTTAAATTTCCTTTAAGCTATTCCAGGAAATCTTGATCGGGAATCCTTTGGCTACAAGCCACTAATTA